TAATTGTCAAATGTCAAAGGAACGATGTAACTGATATTAAAGTTGTGTTTTTCTCTATAAAAAGGATACATGTGATACGTACTCATAATGCTCATAAATGCTAGTAATATATTACTAATTCTACGAGTGAGATTTGTAGACAAGGCAGTAGTACTCTTATAAAAAGACTAATACATTCTTGTGATATATTTAACGAGTGAGATTTGACAAAGTCTCCACTCCTACTGTATATAAAATAAAATACAGTAATTGCTTTTACCAATGTATTACAAAATAAAGTCTACTCGTTCGTTTATAGGTGAGAGAGGTGCATTTCAAACCTTACAAGGTTTAGTTTGTTCCCTCTAGCTCCTATCTGACTTGGAGTCCGTATGAATCGATCCGACTGGAAAAATTCGGGTTCAAATGAAACTTTTATCCCCTATTAAATATATCACCGGTATATATAAAGAAATGTGTTTTTTTTTTTTTGTAATCAGTATAAGATATTGGAGTTATTAATAAAGGATATAGCTACGCAAATGGATTAATGTAGCACGTAACCATGTCACTCGTTAGTTAGACTAAAATACCTTTAGCTGAGTTCCACATTTGCCAACTCGGACATAGAAACTTTTTTTCCTCCACTCGCAACCAAACCACATTTCCGTTGAAGATAGTTCGATCGGTAATCCACAAATTTGAAAAACTTTATCAGTATAAACATTTCATCAAAAGCTGCTCCGTTGAAGAAGGATTTGAGATCGGGCATCTAATAAGCGGAGTACAGGCAAACACGTTGACGGTGAAATTCGATATAGTCGAAGACGACAAACGCGTTACCAGATTTATTATAATCGTAGGCGAATTTAGCCTGACAAAGTATAAATCAGTGATCTCGGTGTATGGATTCGAGAAAGAGAAATAGATCTAGAAGATGGTTCTAGAATCATACGCCATTGATATGCTGGAGGTAACTCCGAATATGCAAAAATTCACAAGTTATGGCTCGTAAGTCGTAACGTTGATGCAGGAAGCGGTGGTTCTCATGTGATTTGGAAGAAAAAAAAAGCAAGATTAACAAAAGGGCAATGTTGTCTTTAATACATATTACGCAAGCAATATCGTAACCCCACAATTATATAGATATTCTGTGAATTATTAAAATTTTCATGGGTATTGATCCTAATTTCCCATAAGAATATTGGGTAATTGGCAACCCAAATTTTTTTTATTACTTCAACAGATAGCCAAATCTGAACAATGGTTAGAATATGTCATAAATAATATGTATTATGGATCAAGATATCCTTGTAAACACAAACATCCTTCCACCATCTCCATTGACAAAATTTTGATAAACAAATTCAATATATGCATCATTTCTTCTTTGTCCATAAACTCTAACGAATATGATAAAGCTTCTTCTTTCTTTATGGGTTGATCCAGATTAAATATCCACTCAACCCCCACCCAGATCCGATTGCTTCATTTCGACGGCGATGACAGGCGAGTACTCCGATCGCCGCTTTCGTCGTCGGAGGTCCATCGGTATTGGCGTCGTGAAAAGGTCTCGTCGGAAGGGAAGAAGATGAGTTCAAAGATGATTTGTATCAGGGGCAAAAGCGCCTCAATTGCCTCGACATTGTTACTTGCTTAATAAAGTAATTATCATGGCTATTTTCTTAATATTATGAGCCAATAAGGTCATTCAACAAATTGAACTCAATTTTAGGTAGATATCAATTTGATTCAACTAAAATTGAGATCTAGTACATGGCTTTCAGACAAAGATAGTTTAAAATAAATAAAAATTAATATATTTTCGATCTTACACTACTATTTGAAAATCCAAATGTTGCAACGTTATTTGAAATAGAAGCATACAAAATACTTACTGAATTTTCGATAAAAAACAAAAAAAATACTTATTGAAAAAACAAGAACTGAATGAAAATGACAATGAAAGTTACAAATGTGGCTTATAATAAGCATATACAGCATAAAAACTTTGAAATAGTGTGAGCATTAGCAAAATAACTGCAGCAAAAAAAGAGAAATACGCCCAAGGGTTATTGAAGTACTTGTGCCTCAAGGTAGCCTTCAAAACATTCCACTTACGGCTATAATAACGGTTAACATCATCAGATAGTTGAGATAGATAACTATCTCTGGGATCGAAAAACACTTCCTGACATAACCGGTTGAACAAATCCGCAACTTCAGCATCACTCCCTAACCAATGCTCGATGATACCACACTGATGCAAGTAGCTCACATCTTCAGCAGAGTTAATTAGATTGTCCATGAAGATTATGTAGGATGTTATGTCGTTGCTCGAGTCGATATGACACTGTTCGAAAGCTATGAGATTCAAGAAGAGTGGCTTGGTACCTACAATAAACACGAGAAGGGTTAGGGCCGGGGTGGTTTCTAAGTTTTACAGAAATTTACAAACAAACAAATAGAAACATAATCATGAGGCTATGTGAGTGCGAGAAAATAATTTATTGGTATACCATTTTTCTGGACCTTGATATAACATTATGAATCCTAAGTCCTAACTAATATATATACTTTGTCAAAATTCATATATACGAAAAATAGTAAAACATATATACATTTGTGGAATGATTGAAAAGGTAAGAAATAAATAAAAGTAAACGTTTAAACTTACCGTCATGGATAACTAGTTTGGGTATCTCTAGACAACCGTTTTCGAATCGAATATCCCAAAACTGGTGGGTTTTCCTTGTCTTGAATTTAACACCAGCTTCTCTTAGTTCCGTCACGCAGTGTACGAGTTGTTGTTGTCGCTTGTCCACCAGGTTCATCCCGAGCGTATCCTGAGACCTCGGATTTGATGACTGATGAAACTCGAGGAGACTTTGACGGAAAACATCAAGACAATGCAAGTCACCTTGTCGCCAAGTGAGTCCAAGGATTTTTCTAGCCAAGGCTTGAGTTTTGACTGGTTTGGTTTGGTCAACGCCTCTCCTGATGGCATAAGTGGATCAAAGAACTTTACAGCTACCTGTCCCACTAAACCAGTTTGGTTCGGTGTACCAAGTTGTAGCTCTAATAACCGGTTAAGAACGAACAGAGGTAGTTGATTTTCCAACATTACCATGTCACGTTGAATCGAATGCATCAATCCCCGCATCGCAAATACAGCATCGTTGCGTGCATATCTACTCAAACCAAAATAATAATAATATAAATCAACCTTTTAGATAAGTGGATATGAAATCAGACCGGTTTAGCAAATAGCAAGACAAAACTAACAAATTTAGTCAGTCTTACCCGATTTGCTGGAATCCTTCAACGGTTCCCCTGAGTAGCTCGAGAACAAAACAACCATCAACAACAAGAATTTCTGTGAACTTATTAATGCTCAAAGTAATGGGGCCTTGGTAGCAAGCACGAGCCTTCTCCTCGAGCTCTTTCATAGCATCAATATATAATTCAATTCCTTGCCCGGTGCGTTCCATGATCATATTGACCGCACGCCACTTGTGAAGCTCCATGGGCAGGAGATGTGTTTTGCCATGATGGTACGGACCAAGCGAGACGGTTTGAGGGAAATAGGACTTCTCGTTGTTTTCTTGCAGGTAAGGTGGAACTCGGTAGATACAGAGCTTGTCCCAGCTAGTTATGGCGCCGTCTCTAAGTGCTATCTCCATCTTGTCTTTTATCGAAATCACCCAATCTTCTCTACGCTGATCTTGGTTCTCCAAGTCCTCGTCTTGATCCAATAGGTTAACTCCCGGTAAACCAGGGAGGTTCGGATCTTGAATAGGTTCAGATTGTTGGTTTCTGGTTTGATTTCTCATGCGGATCAAGTACCAGTTCAACACGCTTTTGTTGATGATAAGTGGTTGACCATCGGAGTGAAGATTAACTAGAACCATTGTTTTTGCTGTTTGAAGCTTTTTCAGGAGATTGAGAGGGAGGACGAGAATGTAATTGTGAAATGTTAAATGCAACGGTAATAACTAATTTATAGCTGTGCTTTGGCCATGTGTTTGCTTATTTTTCAATGAACATAGATCCTATAAAAAAAATTCGTATTCTTAGAAAAAGACTTGCGTGTGAAAAAAAAAGAAAACAAAAAGACTTGCATAAATGCTTGTAGTTTAGATAGTCAACGAGTGAGATTCAAACACCACACTCATTTATATACAAGGCTCTATACTCGATAT